AAAAGTAAGGTCCCCCTGCAATTTGGACAACTGGGCAGCGGAGCAGCCCTCCTCGTTCAGCACAAGGGCCGTCGTGAACGTCCGCATCATCGCAGCCAAATCCTCCGCCAGGATACATCGACGAGACTCTCGATCGGCCTCGCGGACAACCTTCACCTCCCTAGCAGAGACGGTAGGAGATCGAGCACCATGAAAATAGCCCGGATGCTGATGGCAAGGCGGGACGACGTAACCCTCCTCGGCCGAGCCGACCGTCAGATCAATCAAACCGCTGGGCTCCTCGGATCTCGGCCTTTTCGTTGCTCCCTGAGACGTAGGAGACTGACTCCCTTGAGGCGAAGAAGACGAACTCTGCCCTCCCGGCGTCACAGCCTCCTGTCCGACCAATTGACTCACCCGCGTCTTCGGGACCACGACATTCCTAGAAGCGCGCAGCTTCTTCACTCGCTCCTCGACAGAAGACATGTTCGCTGCAAAAACAAAGAAAGAGTTAGCAACGGCCAGAACACCCGACCACGGGGAAAAAAGAAACATCCCTACCTAGATAATCCAGAGCGGCCGCCCCAGTGGCACAACCGAGCAGGGTCTTAGTGTTAATCATCCGCTTCTTGGTTCGCATGTTCCCCTGCGCGTCGAAGATGTACCGACCATCGGGCGTCACCAGTTTCGACGGGGGAAGAGCCCGCACAAAGGCAACTATTTTCATATAAGCGGCCATATCTTTCTCGTCGAGGGTCCCCGCTCGCACGATATACCTATCCGTGCCACGGCTGAAGTGCTCCGCGGTCCATAACAGATGTATCTTGGGAAGCCACGCGAGGAACCGCTGGCCGTCTACCATTCGCTCGCCCTCGGCAAAAAGAGTATCCGAGCCTTGCTGAGTGATCGGTTTCACGAGGAAGAACCGACCTTTGAAATCTTTAACGGAATCGCTGTACGTCTTGAAGAGCTTGGTCGGCTGCTTAAACGAGACCCATCCCTGACGGCCGTTCATCGACTGGCGCTGTAAGTGGAAGATGCGAAAAAACAACGGCACCGTGGGCTCCACCTCGAGATAGAAGCACACCACCTCGAAGGCACGGATAAAGGCCAGGGCATTGGGATGCAGTTAGGACGGGGCCAAGCGTAACCAATCAAAGAGCCCCAGATGGAAGGCGGAGAACGGCAACCTGAGCCGAGCCTCTTTGAAGTAGAACTCGTGCATAGGGAACATCTGCCGCCCATATCGCGAGCAAATGCGATGGTGCTCCTTCGGGCGATACACCTGCCAATGTTGCGGCTCCCTTTCAGGCGTATCCTCGACAGTGGCATAGACATCGGACGCATCGGCCACGAAGCAGGACGGGGTGGACAACGGCTCTTCGGCCACCCATTCCTCGACCGGGACGACACGCTCGTCAAAATCCGGGACCTCGGGTTCGTTATCTTCGACCATCGTCCCCGGTACCAAGGCCGACATCTACACCTGAAAAGCAGAGGACAACGGTGAATTCGATAGCCAAGATCAAATCCACCCTTCCACCGCAGGTCAAGTGAAAGGGCGACAAAGGCCAGAGAACGGCGAGCAAACAGGCGCTCCCCGCCAATCCTCCTCGGGGCATCTAAGGGCCAACCCACCATCCCTCCTCGGGATGTTCATCGGAAAAAGCGCGCGTCCCCGGGGCATTCATCGGAGAAAGCCCCCGTCCTTGGGATATTCATCGGAACAACCGACTCTCCCCGGGGCATTCATCAGAAAATCGCCAGATACGGCGGATCTTGCGTCCCTCCTCGGGGCATTCATCATGCCCTGACCACACATTCTAATCAAACGGCGGAAATAAAAGGAGAAGAGAAAGAAAAACTCACTTGTAACGACGGTGAACGGGAGGAAGAACCAAACGGTGCAGCGGCGATCGACGGCAACGGCGGACGGGCAAGGATCTCAGAGCTTCGCAGGTAAAACAGCAAAATGAAAAGTAGAAAAATGAGCGGGGACCCCCATATTTATAACCTGGTGCGGGATTCGAAGCGACGCTAGGCTCATTAATGGCATAGGGTAGCCGCCCCTACGACCGCTTAACGCGCGACACGTGGCGGCAACCTGACAGTCGCGCCCCTTCACCTGCTTTCACCCTGCTCCGCGGGCGACAGGAGACCCCCGCGCAAGCGCCCGTTCCACCGTGCACAAAACCCCGACGAACCTCCCGTTTCGCTACCTCTCTCCCCGACACAGCGACCTTAAGTCCTCGCTCTTTCCCAGAGCTTCGACTTGGGGGGCTCCTATTCTGGTCTGGGCCCAACCTCGGTCCAGCCCAATACCACGCACGGCCCAATAAGTGAACTGGCCACACCGGGCACGCGCGTCCCACAGGACGGGCAGGGCACGCCCCCAGCCATAGGCGACGCGTCCGACGGCTTCTCAACGTCCTCTCTTATCGGCCGAACAAGACACACCCCGGTGCGTCGAAGCGAGACCTTTGGTTTCTCCACATCCTCGCGTTCCCCTCCGCGGGGAGAACAACGCCCTCCGGGGAACCTCGCGAGCTCCCCTCCGCGGGGAGGACAACGTGCCCGGCGCACGTTCTCCACGTGCTCCCCTCCGCGGAGACACGTCATCAACCAACTGCCCTACCTCCGAAAGAGCAGGTCAAACCCACTTTCCGGAGATCAAGGAGCAGTTGGAGTAGGGCGAAGACCACGTCCTGGTCTTCACTACGCCACGTAAGCCCTAGCAGTCATTAAGGTTGGGCCTGGTCATCCAGCCCGTCTCAAATGACCGTTGGCCCAACGCTGGGGTCTCTCTATAAATACCATCTTCCTCAAGAGGGTCAGGGAACACACTTCTTACCCCTTTTCTGTACTTCGCCATCGCTCTGCCCAACTTCTCACTTTGGCATCAGAGTGTTTTGCAGGTACACCCCCCTTCTCTTCCTCATCACCAGCGAGCAAGCGGCAGTCCAACAGAGTGTGACCAGCCCGTGATCCCCTTCTGATCAGGTCATATCAATAATGTTCTCGTGACATTCAAAATTTCTTATCTTTTTTGTCACGCATGATTCTAATGCTAAGAATTTGTTTAACTTCTCCCATGTCTTTCATGGCAAATGACTCTCTAATAACAAACAGTGATATTTGACAGCGGTAATGGAAATGTAATGGAGACACGCTACAATATTGATGGATTTAGTTCATTGACCATGAGGTATAACATCAAACTTGGTTTTTGAGGTTCTATTATTGGTTGAATTTTTTTTTTTTTGATATTGACGACAATCTAATTTTTCTAACTTTCATAATTGAGTACAAATTTGAGAACCTCACTCTGTTATTGATCGACAACATGTAACAATTCCTTATGTGTCGATCGTCTTATGCTTTAAGGCGGTTATAACATTTCATTTAGAAAAATGATATTCCTACACCAAAATTATACACCTACACTGTATTTAACTGTTCACCTATACGGTGAACAGTAAAATATTATAATAATATGTTTCTTTTTTAAATAAAAAATAAAAAATATTATTATTATATATATATATATAAATATATTTAATATTTTTAATTTTTAAGTTAAATGATATTGAGATAAAATTACGTGATTAACCAACTTCATAACTTAATTAATCAACCTTGTACATTTTATTAACCAATTTTGTTTGTTGCTAAAAATTATTTTTCATATCTGAATGTTTATTAATCAGTTTCATAACTTCATTAACCAATATTTTATATTGTATTAACCAACTTCATTGACTGTTAAAAATTATTTTTAATATCTGGACGCTTATTAACCAACTTCATAATTTTATTAACCGATTTTTTATATTTCATTAACCAATTTTGATTTATTACTAAAAATTATTTTTACATCTAGACGTTTATTAACCAACTTCATCACTTTATTAACCAACTTTTTACATATTATTAACCAATTTTATTTCACTATTTAAAAGACACTGTTCACACACTATTTATGCACTATTTACGCACTATTCTCACACAGTTCGCGTATTATAAATATTATTTTTATTTATTAAAAAATAAAACATTATTCACAGTACAAGTATGATAAAGAGTAATGCTAACTTGTGCCTCAAGGACACAAGTTAAGAAATACATTTATAAAAAATTTGTATTGAAAGCATTAATAAAAATTTAAATTTTTTATTTTTATTTAAATAATATATAATTTTTAAAATATTATTTTTATATATATTTTTTAAGGGCACACGTTAACATTATCCTTTTATAAAAAAATGTTTAGAGTAGAAAAGAGGTGTAGGAATATCATTACAATGATTCAACTTTTTTTTCTTCTTCCACGTGGTTTAAAATACAAAATGTCTCCATTGAAGAAAGTGCTTGATATTGGTTAATTGGATAAAGTGCTTAGTTTTATTTTAAAGCATGGACAATATTTCATTAAATTTTATTGAACTGACAGATCAAATACTTTTTTATTCTATATTGGTATATGGCCAACACCATTTGCCCTTGTAATTGATGCAACAATCGGACCCTTACGTCATTTTCTTTGCATGCAACATTTCCTACAAATGGACGGAAATCAGAACACTTTCTTACACATTTCCTTCCTCTCTGACACAACCAAACAACCAACAACACATATTTCTAAATACTTTCCTTTCCATCCTCCACACTCTATAAAACCAAACAACTCATTAGAATGAATATCCAAAAGAAACACTATTGTTTTCTCTATTACTTTACTTAGATAAGAAAACGAAAACCCACTTGCAGAAAACTTCATCACTGCTTTTTCCGTCACCATCGAAAATAAATAGTAAAATATAAAAATAAAAATCCAAGGTACAATGAACAGCGTTGAAATCGTCCAATCATATCCATTCAATTCTCTGTCAATTTACCATAACACCCCTCACCCTCGCCATGTGTCAAAAAACCACTCTTTCACTCTCAGCCAAATAAACTGTGCTCTAGATATACAACACCAATCTTTCTCCACAAAATCAAAACTCAACCGAAAATCAACAATGACTTCTTCTTCCGTCACCAGAAAGCTTGATGTAGTTTCTCCGGTTCCCGCCGATATTGATATTGCTAACTCCGTTCAACCTGTTCACATCGATGAAATTGCCAAGAGTCTCAATCTTACTCCAAATCATTACGATCTTTACGGAAAATATAAGGCTAAGGTTATTCAATTTCATTCATATTTTTTTCTTAATTTTGTATTTGTAATGGTTATGATATGGATATTTGTTGTTTTCGATTGGTGAAGAGTGATTTGATTTGTGTGTGTAGGTTTTGTTGTCTGTTTTGGATGATCTGAAAGAATCGCAAAATGGTTATTATGTTGTGGTGGGAGGTATTACTCCAACTCCTCTTGGTGAAGGCAAATCTACTACTACTGTTGGTCTTTGTCAAGCCTTAGGTGCTTTTCTTGATAAAAAGGTTTGTTTTTATGCTATTATGCTACATCTTTAGATCATACTTAACTCAATCTATGTGTTTTTGAAGTTTGTCGGCTCAAATGATATCTATACATCACGACTTGACGTCTCTGACATACCCTGACACTGATATTATCAAAAACATAGGATACTGATCCTAGAGGTGTCAGACACTTGTTTGATTTTTCTGACACTTGTCATACAAGTGTCAGGCACCGACGTGTGTCAAGAACTGTGACACGCCTAATCCTATTGTTGTTTGTGTTTCATAGATTTTGATGCTTCCTAGATCTGCTTAATGATGATCAAAATTGTGGTTAACGTGTGTACACCGAAATTGGATAGCTCATTAACCATTCATTGAGCGTACATTGTTAACGAACCTCAATGGATGGTTAATTTTTTAAGTTATTCATTTTTTTACTGATGTTCAAAATTGTTGTTAGTAAAATGCACTAGATAGTTAGTGAATTATATGTTCTTGTGTATCAATACGCTATAACTATGAACATCATTAAGGTGTAGTGGGTGTCAGAATTCTCAACTCTATAATGAAGATGTCTTTGAATTTTACTTTTGTTCTAGGAAGTGAATGATGGATGAAAGTTTTGGATTAAAACGATCCTTAACTTGGTAATTGATAATCTAGGATGAAAGTTTGGTGAGCATTAGTTGTTTACTATGCTGTGATTTCTCTTATTCTCGACTGTGAATGTAAATGTACACCTAATTACAGTTAAGTCTGGTTTTTCTTAAAATTATATACTTCGTATGCGCCATTACAGCTTGCATAAGTGGGGTTTATTTTGTAATTTATGAACATTATGAATTTATGAGACTATTTTTTAGTAATTGTAGTACCATTCTCAGTACTTTATCCAATAGGAACAACTGTTTTCATTCTCTTGTAGAGGTATTTTGCCGTGTTGATTTTCCCATATGTCGTGAGATGAAAAATTTAGATGTAAGAACTGTTCTTTCATTACTCTTATCTCATCACTGGTTGTGTGGCGTGCGTCCAAAATATTGATGAAAAACTACCATTTTAATCACGTGTTTAAGTTATGCTATGCTGGATATGTAAATTTCATTGTTGGTTTTCCAACCTTACATTAGTGTGTGCCTCTCCTAATCAAAATATTATTTATGAAAGAAAAAAGGTTATGCTGGATTATGTGTGATCCCATCTCATCTCTTTATGTTAGGTGGTCACATGCGTTCGTCAACCATCACAAGGACCTACTTTTGGAATCAAAGGAGGTGCAGCTGGTGGTGGTTATAGCCAAGTGATTCCCATGGATGAATTCAATCTTCACCTAACAGGAGATATCCATGCAATAACTGCAGCAAACAATCTTCTAGCAGCTGCAATTGATGCCCGGATTTTCCATGAATCAACACAATCAGATAAAGCTCTTTTCAACCGGTTATGCCCTGCAAATAAAGAAGGAAAAAGGAGCTTTAATGATGTCATGTTTAGGCGTCTCAAGAAGCTTGGAATTTCAAAGACTAATCCAGATGATCTTACACCAGAAGAAGTAACTAAATTTGCTAGACTTGATATTGACCCTGATTCTATTACATGGAGGAGAGTAATGGACATCAATGACCGGTTCCTAAGGAAAATTTCTGTTGGTCAGGGACCTGATGAGAAAGGAATGGTAAGAGAAACAGCATTTGATATTTCTGTTGCTAGTGAGATAATGGCTGTTTTAGCATTGACAACATCCCTAGCTGATATGCGCGAGAGGCTTGGGAATATGGTTATTGGAAATAGCAAGAGCGGTGACCCTGTAACTGCTGATGATCTAGGTGTTGGAGGTGCTTTAACTGTTTTAATGAAGGACACCATTAACCCTACTCTTATGCAAACTTTGGAAGGAACACCTGTTTTTGTTCATGCAGGTCCATTTGCAAATATTGCTCATGGAAATTCTTCTATCGTGGCTGATAAAATTGCACTAAAGTTGGTTGGACCAGGTGGATTTGTAGTTACTGAAGCTGGTTTTGGGGCTGATATTGGAACTGAAAAGTTCATGAACATTAAGTGTCGATACAGTGGTTTGTCACCTCAATGTGCAATTATTGTTGCAACAATAAGGGCACTAAAAATGCACGGTGGAGGGCCTGCAGTTACTGCTGGAAAACCTCTTGATCACGCATATTTGAATGAAAATGTTGCTTTGGTTGAGGCTGGTTGTGTGAATTTGGCAAGGCATATAATAAATTCAAAACTTTATGGTGCGAATGTTATAGTTGCTATCAACAAGTTTTCAACCGACACTGAAGCCGAGCTAAATGCGGTTAGAAAAGCTGCCTTAGATGCCGGAGCCTTTGATGCCGTAGTATGTAGCCATCATGCCCATGGCGGCAAAGGAGCAGTAAGTTCATGCTTCACATGTCTTTGCATATTTTTGACACAAAATTATAGGAAATTGAGTTATAATAATATTACTAAGGGCTAAGGCCAAAGAAGAACATAGAGAAATATAAGAGTGAATAGATCACTATAAGCTTATCATATTCAGATATAAAATTTAGTTTGGAGCTCTCTTCATTATTTTCTTGACGGAAACATAAAATTTTAATCCCTAGCCAGTTGTACCCTCCTAATTTTTAATTTGTGTTAGGATCAAAGACCCTAATAGTGCTGATGATAATACAAACTTATTCATATCGTGGTTTAAACTTCAGATTTTAAGCAAATGGAGCTATTTCGAGGCTACAACTAGCAGCAAAATTAAGTTCATATACATGCATTAATAGGATAGATGCAAGTCCTATTAGATCTTTCTGTTAGTAACTTTGCAAGTCTTGGTTCTATCATTTGCTGAGGCATGTCTTGTCATGATTTAGGTGGACCTGGGCATTGCTGTTCAAAAAGCTTGTGAGAATGCGACACAGCCATTGAAGTTCTTATATCCTTTGGATATAAGTATAAAAGAGAAAATAGAGGCAATAGCAAAGTCATATGGAGCCAGTGGTGTTGAGTACTCAGAACAGGTGATCTTATCTTGTTTGGTTATGTCAGTTTACATTAACTTCTGAACAATATAACTAAAAATTAATTATGAATTGTAAGTGGAACACAAAAAGATGTATTTTTCCGTCCTGATTGAGATTCTCAATGTCTAACCAGGCCGAGAAGAAGATTGAGTTGTATACCAAGCAAGGATTTTCAGGACTTCCAATCTGTATGGCTAAGACTCAGTATTCTTTCTCTGACAACGCAGCAGCTAAGGGAGCTCCAACTGGTTTTGTCTTACCAATAAGAGACGTAAGAGCTAGTATTGGAGCTGGATTCATTTATCCTTTAGTTGGAACAATGAGTACCATGCCTGGGTTGCCAACAAGACCATGTTTCTACGACATTGATATCGACACAACAACTGGAAAAGTCATTGGTCTCTCTTAATTATGCAACCTCTATCTAGTGGATTCGCACTAGCAGCTGCAAAACCTTCGCTGCCGCTATTACCAAATTCCCAAGTGTTACAACACCATATTCCTCCATGATGTTCTCTTGTTTCTTTGCTTAATGGAATAATTATCTAAGGAGATATTGTGTACTTTTTGTTCATGTTACACTTTCTAATAATGCATAATTTAATTTATGGAGAACTCACAGTTATAAGGCATAGCAGTCTCACATAATTCATAAAATCTAAATGGAAAACATAGAGAAATGATAGCTAAACAAAAAAAAAACATTTTATTAATCAATGAAGATGGTGAAATGATAAATAAATAAAAAACAACAATACTGTATTTTTACTGTTATTGTGTTTTCTGTGTTTTATCTATCGCAGGATGTATACCGAATTTGATTAGATCTCATTGTTTACTTGATAATTGTTGAGATGTCAATTCTTTTTTGTTAAATAGCATATTCAAAAAATATCACCATATATTTATTTACTTTTAAAACAAAAGGATGCAAAAGCACCCTAAATAGATATATTTAGAAAAAAGAGATTACAAAAGCGAAAAACAAAGGGACAGGAAAAAAAAATAAAATAAGGAACTCTCCTTTAGTGCATAAATTTAAATTTAGAAAAATCTAACTTGTTTCTGTTAGATATAATTCAGATTCATTTATATTTGAATTTAATTTAGTTTGTATTTGAATTTGTTTTAGGTTTTGATTAGTATATAAATTAAGTGTGGTTTTAATTTGTAATAGAGAATTGATCCATAATTGAATTCTAAAATTCTATTAGAAAAGTTAGTTACAATTTTTTTCTCTTCTCTCTCTTTCATCTTCATTATCTTCAACTTTTCCTTTTTGTGCACCAAAAATTGGTCAGAGTCTGGTTCGAGTGAATGAATCGACTCACTTGTATCGAAAGCACCCTACATGGTCGTGGGTAGAGTATTTCGTTGAAGAATGTCAACAGCGGTATAAGTGTATGTGATAAAAAAAGTTTTCGCTTGAGGAGGAACATTGTGGATAGACTCAAACTTGAGGGAGAGTGTTGAAAATAACTAGTGTGAGTAGTGTGAGGAAGTCCCACATTAGTTAGAAATGTGGAGACTTAAGCATTTAAAAGTGAGAGAACCCACACACCTATAACCTTAAGGTTTTGGGTGAGTGTGATGTGTCTCTCACAAAAGTGTGTTGCTCAAAAGAAAAGTCTCCAAAATAAAAATGCTCCTCGTGTTGACAGAAGCAGAGTTATGTTGCTTGTAGGGTACCGTAGTACAAGTGCTTATGAGTTCTGTTGTTCTGTCACTAACAAAATTGAATTCAACAGAGATGTCATTCTGAAAGAATCAGAAGTTAACACCTGAGTTAACTTCTGACTTCTGAAGATATTTCACATTCTGAAGGAGAATCTGCCTCTGAAGATGAGTCATAGTCTAAAGGTGACTCTAATTTTGAAAGAGAATCTGAAGGCGAATCTGACTCTTAAGGTGAATTTGATTCTGATCTAGATTCTGATGATGATCAAGACTCTGGTGATAATCATGCCTCAAAAGTTGGTTCAACCTCTGAAGGTAGTCCAACATTTAATATTATTCCAGCATCTGAAGAAGATTCTGAACAAGTTCAGAGACCACAAAGAATAAGAAAAATATCAAGAAGATTTGCAGAGTTTGACATGTTGCAAGATACTGAGATAGACTCTGAAGGAGAAGTCATTCAGTGTGCCATATTGATAGACTCTGAACCAGTTAGTACTGAAGAAACTCTCAAGGATAGAGTGTGGCTGAAGGCCATAAAGGACGAACTTGAGACTATAAAAAGAAATAAGACTTAAGAGTTAACTGAGCTTCTAAATAACAAGAAAGCCATCAGTGTGAGATGAGTTTACAAGTTGAAACTAAAACCAAATGGATCAACTGGCAACACAAATCAAGGTTAGTAGTTAGAGAATTTCTATAGAAATCTGGTTTAGACTACTTTGAAGTGTTTGCATATGTAACTAGACATGAAACAATCAGACTGGTGATTGTTATAGCTACTAATAGAAATCGGCATCTGATGCATTCAGATGTGAAATATGTATTTTTTAATGTTCATTTACAAGAGAAATTTTATGTATCACAACCTTCTGGATTTGTGAAAAAGAATTAGGAGGGAATTGTGTACAAGTTGTATAATGCCTTGTATGGACTGAAACAAGCTCATAGAGCCTAGAATTTAAAATTTGATTCATTTTTCAAGCTTCAAGGATTCATAAAACGTGTGATGGAGTATGGTGTTTATGTTCAACATACATTTGATAGCAATATAATTCTGGCGTGTCTCTATTTTTGATGACATATTGTTAATAGGGAGCTGTTAAGATGAGATACCTAAGTTTAAAAAAGTGATGATTAATGAATTTGAGATGTCTGATCTAGGAAATATGACATATTTTCTATGGATGAAGATTATGTACTCTTATAAGGGTATAATCTTGCATCAGCTGAAGTATAAACTTGAGCTTTTAAAGAGATTTGAGCTAATGAATTGCAAGTCTGCAATCACACCTACTGAAACAAATTAAAAGTTGGATTCTGATGTTGAGGTGGTGATGTGGATGCTACAAATTTTAAACAAATGGTAGGCTTAATGATATATCTATGTAATAGTAGACATGATATTTGTTATGTAGTTCGAACAATGAGCAAGTTTATGAACGAACCAAAGTGGTCACATTACCAAGTCGCTGTTAGGATACTAAGGCATATTAAGGGGACTTTGAAGTATGAGTTTTTGTTCTCTTCTGATGCTGAAGTTGATTCAAAGCCGATGTCCTATTAAGACTCTGATTAGTATGGAGATAGAGTTGACAAAAGAAGTACTTTTGGATATTTCTTCAAGTATCTGGGAGATCCTACAACTTGGTGCTCCAAGAAGTAACTAATGGTTGCATTGTTGGTAAGTTCTAAATTGGAGTGTGAATAATTGACACTTATTGGCTTAATTCAACCAATAAACCTCAACTTTTATGCATATGTTGTATAGTTTACATTACATTGTATATATTGCGTATCGTGTAAATATCATTGAGTTTAATTATTTTTCTCTCATTTTTGTTGGTATACAAGCAATGATATTTTTTTATTGTCTTATAGAGCATTTAATAAGCTTTCCAACGCTTCCGACCGTGCGTAAAATGGAGTTAAGGTTCAAAAGTTATGGTCGAAACAAGTGCTGGTTTGCTGTCATGTTCGCTAGGCAAACTGAAAGTGCTCAAAAGCGTGAAAAACACTGTTTTGGTAGTAGTTAAGGCGACAAATGTTCGTTGGGCGAACACGGGACCCCAAATTTGCCTATAAAGTCAATTTTTAGATATGTTTTAGTTTATGTTTTTGGGATCTTTTAACTCCAACTTCATCAAACACATTTTTGGAGTTTAGAGAGCTTTAACAACATCAATGAAGGTTGCAACTTGATGATTCTGGATTGAAGCTTCTTTAATCGTGATTGACACCGTGAGAGATTTTGATTCTTCTCATTTCTTCCCTTTGTAGTTTCCATTTGTGGGGTTTGTATGTAAGTTTACTCTGATTTTATGTATATGTATTGATCATATTATTGTATACAAGCTATTTTGCAAATCTTTATCGGTGTTATCCTTATTTTAATCGCTTTATGTTTGGATTTGAGTTGCGGTAGACATATCCTATTCGAATCCGAATCTAGGATATTCATCTATCGATACACAAATTGGAGAAATCGATTTATGATTGATATTTGCTTTGTGTTGAACTTAAAGCTTATTGTATTGGTTGTTATATGGAAAATTGTATAGCGATGAATACACTATTTCTCACAACACCGCTATAGACATTATAAAGCGATGAGTATGCTATTTGAGATTAACGAGTATTTTAGGTTGCGTACAACTGATTGGTAGATTGTGTATTTGATGGGTAGAAGGAAATACAACTCATGTCGAGTTTTCTCCTCTCTAAAGAATGTATTTATTTTCTTGTTCATATGTTTTTCTTTTGACTCTTTACTCTTAAACCATTTAAAACCAAGCTTAGATGTGTAGAGATTGTCAAACAACATTCTTTCCCTCAAACTGATCCATATGGAGACGATAAAAACCAGATACTTAATTAATTTTAGCTTGCCTCTTTACCGCTTTAGAAAAATGGCGTCGTTGCCGGTGATTGGTTTTAATATTGAAATGCATTGCGATACTTTCTATATTTTCAAGCTTTGCACATAATTGTATATATGCTTGCATAGATATTTGTTTTGTTTTTGTCTTCCATTATGTTTGTTCAAGTGTTGTATATATTTTGTTCTCGTAATGTTTGTTCAAGTGTTTGGTTTGGACACATTCTTTAGGTTGGCGCTTTGACAAAGCATCAGCATGTTTGCGAGGAAGTTACTAGCAAAGCACAATAAAGGCGTCGAGCTAACAACGATAAACAAGCGCTTGTTGGGAGGCAACCTAACGATTTTTGAGTTTGTATAACTTTATGTTTATTTAGTTTGATTCAATGTTGTTAGGTTGTTAGGAAATTTTTGTGTTTTGTCTCAAGCTTTATTTTTAATTAGCTTGAGGATGCATTTTGTTATTGTTAAAGTTTGATTGTTTCAATAAGAAAATGTTATGGTAATGTGAAAAGTTTAAACGAGTTACATGGCTAAGGTTTGTCTCTATTGCTTTTCTAGAACATAACATGTTTATGAACCTTATGCTTTTTTATAAATAACATGTCATTCACTCTCTTGCAAATTTTGTTCAATTTTGAATCACTTAGGTCCAAAAGCCACAAATTGTGAGAAACCTCTGTTGTTTACTAAATACTTAGGATGACTGATAACTTTGTTTAATTTGTTTTATTCATGCTTAATCTTTTGATTATTGTGTTTTTGTGGAAGTATTAGAAATGATAAAGACATTTGTTGATATTGAGCACAACCATAGTCAAAAGTAACTTACCCGTGAGTAGCGAGAATTTGCT